ACTCAATTTTGGTCAAAAGCTCACAAGGCACCTTGTGTTTTGCATATAACCTAAATTCCAACCTTTTCCTTTCAAGTTAACCATCTTTCTACGTGACGGTGCTGGTGACATTTTCCACAATGTGTCCACCTTCTCAATAGTGCCATTCCTTTGGCTCTGTCCCTTTAACCCTGCTCCCCATCTTGGTTTGGAGTCCACGTTGACCATTTGGGCACAGTCCATTTTTTAAAGGAGCACAGTACTAACAGGTGACACTTTTAGAAGTTAATCTACTATTTGGATGAAAGGTGACCACCAGGAATGACTTCAGTCAAAGGGTATCTTAGGGCGACAGTCTCAGAGGTTGCCTCCAGTCCTAGCTTTCAGCCAGAAACAGATTTTTATGGATAAAGTATTCAGGCCTGGGGTTTGGTGTGTGGGGGATAGAAAAACAGAGTCGATTTAGATCTGAGTTACTTCTCGCATTAGAAGGGTCCCTCTCTCATTGTCATCAAGTTAATGCCGACTCGTAGCAACGGCAAAGGGCAGAGCTGCCCCTGTGAGTTTGAGACTGCACAGCTAGCTGGCAGTTTGGATCTGCTGACTGTGAATCACATCCCAACTCATAACCACTGCACCACCAGGCCTCCTAGAAGGAAAGGGGTTCAAAAAGCATTACTGTCACTAGCTACACCCAGCAGCAACAAAGGCAGCCTGGTCAACAAGGGGCCGGGTTTTACCTTCATATTTTCCATGTGTACCACATACATGGGGGGGCTGCTCTAGCTCCGGGCTTCAGCTCTAAAAGCGTTCATGGATGGGAAGGCATTTCTTGAATATTCATGACGCCACAAAGAGTCAGCCATCAAGTCAAACTAAGCAAAGCATTGGTAATTCATACTCGCATTAATATTGATAAGGTATTCTTACACACATGGGTGTGCACACACACAATAAGCAAAAAACCAGTTTTCACATAAAAGAAATTTTTATGTGATAAGCCTAGAAAATTATGCAAAGAAAAAATGTCAGGTATTCTTCACACACTAACCTTTGCATTTTAGTTTGCAGGACTAGTTGAATCTGGTTCTGGCTCACCAATAACTAATTGAGTTCAATTACTATTAATTTATCTTTCAGAAACTTCATGTTCTTTACCCTAATTTCTATTTCAGTGTCTAATATGATGCTATTTAAATGTGGCTAGTGTAGTGGGTTACTCACTGGGCTATTAATTTCAAGGTCAGCAGATGGAAACCACCAGCAGCCCCGCAGAGAAAGATGAAGCTCCGAAGCTCTCTGTTCCCATTGAAAGTTAGTCTCAGGAATGCGCAGGGGCAGTTCTATCATCCTACAGGGTCGCCGTGAATTAGAGTTGACTCCATGGCAGTGAGTTTTGAGTTCTTAACCCCATCGTTCAGTACTGGTTCTGTGGCCGCCTCCAAAGCCAAAGCCAGCTCACTAGCCTCTAGGACAGAGTAGCACTACTCCTGGTTTCCTACGCTGCAAGCCTTTATGGGAGCAGAAAGCCTCGTCTCCAGAGTGGCTGGTAGGTTTGAACTGCTGACTTCATGGTAAGCAGCCCAAAGGGTAATTACTATGCCTGCAGGGCTCCTCTTCATAGACCAAGATGACAATATAAAGGGCTAATAGTCAGGGCCCTGTGGTGGCAAACCTCGAGAAGACTAGTTTTACTAGTTATATTAAGTCTCGTCCTTTTAAAACTCTTCCTAGATGTCCAAGCTTGCAATTCATAGACCATGAGCCAGAAATAACGGAGGTTGTTTATGGAAAAAACTGTCTCATGTTAACGGTTGGTATTATCTCTGGGACTATAGTTGGCCACAGCTGTATGGCCCTAGCTCAAAACTATCATCAGAAAACAGTTTTCCTATTGCCTTGCATTTGTTACTAGACTGTGACATTGTAACTTGATGCTTTTGGATGTGTGTGTGTAAATGAAATTTATTAAAAGCATTTAATAACTGACATTTGAATATTCATCAGGTTCATTTTGGCCATGTGCTTCAAATATGGTATTTGCTATCACATGCGCATGCCCCTTATGACTAAACTTCAAATACTAGTTTAAGTTCATTGCCATACCTCTTAAGATTTTTAAAACTGAGTGAATCTTCCCCTACCCCCAAATAGGGCATTACTAGTACCACCAGCCGCTCCGCTCCCCTCTGCTCTGCTCTGCGGGACAAAGACGGGGCTTTCTACTTCCATAAATAGTCTCGGAAACTGACAAGAGCAGTTCTACCTTGTCCTACAGGTTGGAATTGACTCAAAGGCAGTGAGTTTGGCTTTTCTTTTGGAGAACCCAAGGCAGGAGACAGTGTGGAATGGTGGGCTAGCCCTTCTTGCTTTGTGATCTTAACCTGTCCATCTTCCATTGGTATGAGTTTCCCCGAGGCCAGCATAACAAATCACACACTTAGCGGCTTGAAACAAATGAATCCTCTCATATTTTTGAAGCCATACATCCAAAAAGTCAGCAGTGCTGCAGCGCTCACGAGGCTCTGGGTGAGAGATCTGTTCTTAGCCTTTTTCAGCTTCTGGGGGCGGCCAGCATGAATTGTAACCTTTTACTTCCCTACTAAGCCCCATGAGTATTGTTTGAGTTGTGTGGTCCTTGGGAGGGTGGGTTGGAAAGGGGGAACCGATTACAAGGATCTACATGTGACCTCCTCCCTGGGGGACGGACAACAGAAAAGTGGGTGAAGGGAGACGTTGGACAGTGCAAGATATGACCCAAAAAATCATTTATAAATTATCGAGGGATAATTCATGAGGGAGGGGAAAAATGAGGAGCTGGTGCCAGGGGCTTAGGTGGAGAGCAAATGTTTTGAGAATGATGAGGGCAATGAATGTACAAATGTGCTTCACACACTGATGTATGGAGAGCTGTATGAGCCCCAAATAAAACGGTTAAAAAAAACATACTGAACAAGCAGAGTGCAGTGGGAAGAGGGATGGTTGTGTAGGTTTTCTTTCTCTTCCCCCCTTGTAAAGCTGGAGGAGGCCAGACACCCCTACGCGCCCCTCGCCAATTTCACATCATCCAAGCCCAGCTTCCTTCCTCTCTAGGGTTATGTCAATACAGTATAGGTCACCCCGAGTACTTCACTCTACCCAACAGGTTTCGTGTTTATAGGGCACACAAGTAGCTTATTTAATCGTTTGATCTCTTAATGTTGGTCTCACAAACTTATCAAGTTTTAAGCTCCCATTCAGAGTGGACAACCCTCTCTACTTCTAACCAGAACCAAATGACCTCAGACACATCACGTGAAATAACCACATGGCAACCGAAAACCGTCTACCCTAGCTTGTCGTGCACTTTTTAAAAAATTGAGACTTTAAAAAAACGCCATGGGACAAATTGTTAAAAATCAGGGCTGTCCCGCCAAAAGCGGGACGTCTGGTCACCTTAGTTTAGAGCCATGTTATGTACCCAAAGAACTGCATTTGCCTTTAGAGGCATAGTTTGCCAATTCCTGGACTAGACAGTACCTAACAAGGCTAAGAAGGAATGGGCCCCAGGGAGGCCCTCGCCCCCCAAAACCACCAAGTTTGAGATGAAGGGCAGCATTTGCCCAGGGGTTGCTCAGAGTTTGGGACCGGAAAAGACGGGTGGAAAAACCAGGAGCGGGAAGTGTAATATTACAGGGGTTGCAATCAATGTCAGTAATCAAGATGTGTATGGCTTGTTGGATGGAAAACCAATTTGTTCTGTAAACTTTCATTCAAATCACCATTTCTTGAATGCCTTAAGATGGCACAGTAAAGTGAGGATTTGAACTAAGGGTCTACCCTAACCTGTGCTGCAAACAATGACTGCTCACAAGAGGCACCTAGCAATAAAGTCCTTGTGGTCTATGTCTGAAAAATCAGTCACTGAAAGCCTTGGGTATAAAATATTGAAAACTACTGAGAACAGCTATTGGCAATAGTTGAACATGAAAATTCTTGTCACTGAACTGTGAACATGATAGAAATGGCCATTAACCTATGTACTTATTACACACCTGGCTATATCTAAAGAACACAAGACACACCTTGGCCTTTACCACCACCCCCTACCAGAGCTGACAGAGGGGCCAGGGCATAAACCAACAAACCCTGATGAACACTCAAGGGGAGAGGGGACAATGCTAATGCCCTCCACTCATTCAAACAAATACTCATCTGTCAGGCAAGGGCCCATTGTCTGTTTGACTGTCCTACATCTAGCAGTACAAATGGCTCAAAAATGAACAACCTTGCAAAAAGTGTAGATTCCGATTCAGACACTACAGCTAGGGTAGAACTGCCCCCTGTGGGTTTCAGAGCCTCTAACTCATCACAGAAGTAGAAAGTCTCGTCTTTCTGCTGAGTGATGACTTGGTTTTGAACTGCTATCCTTTTGGTTAGCAGCCCAATGTGTAACCAAAAAGCCACCAGGGCTCAATGAAGGAACCCCAGTATTTGCTGAACGAATTAGTGAATTTTCTATAGGACTCGACTGTAAAATAGGGCACAGAAAGACCCAACATTTAGATTTTTAAAAAAGAGGGGAGGGGGTAAAGCAGCAAAGAAACAAGCCTTGTGATGGCCAGATTTTATGTCCAGTTGACTTTATATGACAGTGTAGGGGTGGAATCCAACCTATCAATCAGGTCAGTCTGATGATGCTAGCCTGAACTGGAACTCTGCTCCTTCACCTCTTGTTGGGAGTGTATTTGCCTCCAAGTACAGCCCCATGTGGGTGTAGACCTGCAGAGCTACTGGTGCCATGGCCAGGTTCCCACCGCCTTAGCTCCGTGCAACGCTGCACCCACCAGCTAGGATCTCCCTGCTTCTCACTCCACCTCTCACCGTCATTGGACCACAGCTCTGAGTCTGCAGAGGGCTCCTATGGACCTTCCGTTGGATTGGGCTGCCTTCTTGATATACAGCTTTGTTATACACGAGTGTCTCTGGTTTTATTTCTCTAGACAACCTAGTTAACACAGGTATTAACGACAACTCCAAGGTGTATTATGAAATACCTTTATTTCAAAGTTCTGGGAAAATGAGGCATTACAATCCAGTCAACAAACAACCAGTTGGCCTGCAGGAATAAAATTGCTCTAGCCCGTATTGCCAGGATGCTAATTTAGTTTCCAGAAAACTCTCCACGACCTGCAGTACTTTCACCTTACTAGTCCACATACAAGGAGCCTGGGTGGCACAGTGGGTCACACAGTAGGCTGTTAACCCCACAGCCAACAGCTGGAGAAACAGGAGGCTCGCCACTGTAAAGATTTGTAGCTTTAGTAACCCACAGGGGCAGTTCTAGCCACACTGGCTCCATGGGAGACTGTGGGACTGCCTGCTTTTTAAAGACCATAACTTGGAAGCTCCTCTGAAAACACTCCGGTCCTACAGATCCTATCTGCTATAGGTTGGTACCGACTCAACAGCAGCAACAGACTGCATACACGCAACTCCATGTGGAGTTTTTGGGGCCTTTGTCCTTAAATGTACAAAACTTGCCTAGGTCCAGTGTGATCAGAAACTAGGTGGTTATGTTCCTAACTTCATCTCTTCCTTCTAAGCAGCCCAGCCTATGTTTATCCCTTGTTTTTTCAAAGGAAGAAAAACAAACAAAACCAGGACACCAAGTCTCAGGCATTAAGGGATTGTCTGAGGTCTCACAGGGCCAAGTTACATCTGTGAGCTCCCACCAAGGGCAACTTCATGAGAAGGCGCATTAGGCAAATTGCCAACTCTACCTGTTTCTATGTGTGTAAAATGGAGAAAAGGAAGGGGTGCTGTAAAAATTCAGGGAACCAGTTAATTCCAGTTCTCTCTCAAACTTATTGAAGCCTCCCTACAGTAAATATCCAAGATGTAACTGTGGAAAATGCACATAAAAGTGCATGTCACATTCCTGGGTCCCCACCAGCCTCAGCCCATGGCTTTCCACTATCTGGGGACACACACACACCCCACCCCCACACCCATGTTATGGAATAAAACCAGACCCTGCTAGTGACGGGCACCTGTTACTTTAAGAATTGTAGGGTGGTAGTCAAGGAAAATACCAGGCTCAGGTCATCTGGCTTGAATGGCTTCTCCAACCTATTTAAAAAAAAAAAGAAGTTGTTAAAATGACCTCTAACAGCTTAAATTAAGTTTGGGGTATTCTTTTCGGTTTGTCTGAAAAGCCCCGAGTACACGTGTTCCAGTTATCTGCACTTTCCTACTTTAAACAAAAGCAAAGTATCTAGATACCGTTTCTATTTGAAGCATTCACAGCACCCCCCAGACTGTGTAAAGCATCAGATATCAACTTTGCCTATAGGTACGTATCTTCAAAGCAAAGGTGCCAAGTGCTGGCTGAGAACCTTATACAAGCACGTGCTTGTGCTTCCAGTTCAGTTGTGACTCCAGACAGGATCCAAAGAGGAGTTCTGCCGACCTCGTCTCTGGGTTTTATGGAGACGTGCTTTATTTACCCTTCTGTGTTAGCCTCTTAAAGTACCGCAGCAACCTTAAAAGGGCACAAGAAAGGGCGACCCTGCATCGGTCTGTGTGCAGTTCCCTCGTGCCGCACAGCGCCGCCCTCGGCCTCTTAAGCCACAGCAGAAGCAGCCGCGCAGGTGAACTTCCTGTAAGGATCAACCTGGACTAAGCCTTTGCACCCACACGTGCTCGCGGACCTCAGGCCGCCATGGGTCACGTGATCGCCGCCTCTCCCAAGTCAGGGACGTACCTGCACGGAGCTGGAAGGCCGCTGCGCCTCCGCGGGGATGTCGAGGCCGCCTGCGGCCGCCGTGGACAGGCCAGGTCCGGCCCCGGCGCACAAAGGAGCGGCGCCGCGCCCTGCGGAAGCAAAGTGCCAGCTCGTCGCGGCGCCCGGCCGCCTGCGGGGCCTCCGGGCGCGGGCGCGCGCCTGTACCTCG